AATTATTTTGTATTTGTTTTTGTTTTCTCTAAATTTCAGTATTTCATATTTAAACACGTAAGACCATGGCTTGTGTTTTCCAAAGAAGAAGTTGTTTTAAACGTTTTTTTGAAGTTTACGTTATCAACTATGTTCATGTAAGAGTTATATTTCCGCATTATAGATGAGCATGAGACGTTAGTAGCGACTCTGAGTATGTGGAAATTTAGGGTCGTTACACTTTTCCCTTCAAATTTGCAAGGTTTTCGAGACTTATCATCATTGACAATCCTAGAATTTCAAACGTCGTCATTAGAGGCTTGTCTCCATTGAACACTTGAAAACATTACGAGTTAATGGGCCATGGAGAATTATGATTGGAGTCCATTCATACACTTCAATTTGTTTGAAAATCTTATATTATGTGAAATAGAAACTAAATGTTTGATACAACTTCCTAAACAACATGAGCATCTCACTACTTTAAGATTGTAGTGTGTTGAGTGTTTTGATGGAGGTGAATATTTGTTAGAAGGTTTAGGAAACATTACATAGTTGGAGACTAGTGACGATTAGGGGTGTACCTGGTCGGGCTTGGGTTGAGGGATTTTTTTTTGCCAAACACAAAAGTTTGGGTTGGTTAGATTGGTAACCCAACCCAACCCGAAAATTTTCACAACCCAACCCAACCCAACCATCGGTTGGGTTCCGGTTGTTAAAAAAAACTATTTTTCACAAACAAACACAAATTGATCTATAATTATTCACAAAGAAAAAAAAAACAAATTCAATCAAGAACAAGAGAGACAATTGTAACATATAAAACTAAAAACAACTAAAATATTGGACACTTGTTGAGAACTGATTAAAGTAAGAAAAATATAAGGATAGATCATGAAATTAAAAAAGCAAAAAAATGATTAGTTTAAAAATACTATATAAAATAAAAATAAAAAATATTATAATTGAAATAGTCTGACCTTGATGGAGCTAGAGAGTACTAAACTATTACAAAAATTAAAAAAAAAATATTATAATTGAAATAGTCTAACATTAATGGAAGAGAGTCCTAAACTATTACAAAAATAAAAATAAAAAATATTATAATTGAGATAGCCTAACCTTAATGTACTCAACTATTACAAAAATAAAAAAAAATATATTATAATTGAAATAACCTAATCTTAATGTATTTGATTGGCATCAAACTCGGCCGTGAGTGTTTTATGTTAGGACAAAATATCACTCTAGTAAAGACTTAATTAAACCAAATTTCTTAGTATATTTTATATATTTTTATTTGGCTCGGGTCAACCAGAGGGTTTAGTCCCATGAACCCAAAACCGAACCGAGTCAGTTCGAGTTTAGAAAAATGAACCCAAACCAACCTGAAAAGCTAATCCAACCCAACCCAACCCTTATAATTCGGGTTGGGTTGGTCCGGTTGTCGGGTTGAATGTACACCCCTATTGATGATAGTCAAATGCATAAATTTGAAAAGCTTGTCATCAAAAGAAGTCAAGTCAAATCTTACTAGATTGAACAATTCACAGTATTTCAGTGTTCCCAGCTTGAACATGGTCAAGGGAGTGTTGAATGGGCAAAAGTTTCTCATGTAGCCTGTATTCATGTATTTTAAAACACTTATTTACATTTATTTCTTTTCTTTGTACTTTTTTTTTAATATTTACATTAGTCTAAGTTAAATTATAATTTTATTCCATGTATTTAAACAATTGTATTGATTTTGTTACTATATTTACTACACTGATTTTGTTACTATATTTACTACTTTTTTCACAGTTTCTAATGGATTCGATTCAATTTTATTTTATTTGTTATTTTTGTTTCGATTGTATTTATAAAAGTTTCATTATTTATTTATATCCTCTAATGATTCTCTTGGTAACATTTTGATTGTGGTACTAAGTAGCGTTGATGTTCATCATTTCATCTTATTGAAGTATAAAGGCACACATATTATTATTGTATTTTATTTGAAGTTTTCGATGTTGAGGAATTCACATTTTGTAAATAATACATAATTCGGACCTTACTTCCTCGGAAAAACCAAAAAATATTAGCATAAGAGAATTCTTGTGGAGTTTTGGTGGGGTGGAAGCGTTGAGGAAGATAGTGAAAGTAAAGGGCGAGCAAATTTGCCTAGCATGGGGCTTCGAGAAGGAGCTCTCAAGGACGAGTGTATGAAGATAAAGTTGATCCTCAGCACACATCGATAACAACTCATACCCAAGATTCACAATAAGAGTTGGAATATGAATTTGACAACCGATGACCTTGCTATTCTCCCTTAGTCAAAGCTCTAACCTAATTTGGAGCGAGATGTTCTCTATTGTTGTAGAGAGACTCTAATGGTTTGTGTTTTGGCATGGTTGAAGTATCAAAGAGGGCAAGGTCTTGAAGAGCTAGTCGATTTTACCGATAGTGATTTAGCTGGAGACATTGACGATAGAAAAGCAAGGTCTTGAAGAGCTAGTCGATTTTACCGATAGTGATTTAGCTGGAGACATTGACGATAGAAAAAGCACCACAGGAAAAGCGTTTCATCTCAATGAAAATTTATTTAGCTGGAGACATTGACGATAGAAAAAGCACCACAGGAAAAGCGTTTCATCTCAATGAAAATTTATCTCTTGGCAATCTCAGAAGCAATGAACTGTGGCACTATCTTCCTATGAGGTCGAGTTCATGTCAGCAACTGCGGCGTCATGCCAAGTATTGTAGTTGAGAAATTTATTGAATGAAGTGACTATAAGTGAACTAAAGCTGGTAACTCTCTACATCGACAACAAATCTATGATTGCATGGATGAAGAATCCATAATTTCACAGATGCAGCAAACACAATGATACTCGCTTCCACTTCATCCATGAATGTGTTGAGAAGAAACAAATTGTTTTGGAGTTCGTATGCACTAGAGTGCATTGTGTAGATATTCTAACCAAAGATTTAGCAAGGGTTAAGTTTGCTGCATTGTGTAGATGCAGAAATTGATGGGAGTGAAGACTGTGAGCTTATAAACTCTACCTAGTAGAATAAGTCATTAACTTATGAAGTAGCAATTGTTAGTAGACTTGGTAGAATAGTTACTTGACTTATGGAGCCAAATTGTGGACCAAGTTTTTGTGGTTGTAGACCCAGTTTTATGATTTAATTAGGAAGATGGTTAGTGGTTATTAATTAGACAAAGTTTAGAAAGCAAGTTAGTGCTTCTTCCACGTTAAATACTCATGACATATATGTTTTTTTTTTTTTTTACAACAACAAAGAGAATTGAAAACTCAAGTGCTTAAGCTTCCTTCCAAAAGATTTCTTCCCTCAAATTATTCTTTTTGCTCCCTTTATTTGTTTTGACATTTTTCGATTTTGGGCCATTTTCAACACTCTATGGATGTGTCATGGTCTCGAACTGCGATGTCGTTGTCAGCCATACAGGGATGTCTTGCCTTTATTTGAAATAGAAGTAGCACGTGGCTTGAGTAGTTGAGTATTTTAAGAAATACTCAGCCTGTTTCCTACGGCGGCTATCATAAGTGAGCAATTGAATGTGTACTTAATTTACCGACATACGACTTACACGTGCGAGTATGGATCCACCGGTCGATTTAATCACCTCCTGGGCTCTTTTCTAGTCTGGCGAGCATTCTTTATTAGGTGTTGATGTCAGACATCCGTTAGGAAAAGCGACCGTCATGGCAACATTATGGTAAACATAATGATCGTTTCCCTGCCTCGTATGTACACGTCCATACTATCGTAAAAGGAGAGGGGATATCCACCGATGCATGAGCACATAATAAGACATGAAGTCCTAACATTTTTCCCTTTACATTACCATATACTACACCTTTCTTCCTATCATACCATTTATCGTATCTTCCAAGAGTGTATTGGGGTTGTATTTCATGCCAATGCGTCATTTTACATGTCAATTAGATAATATATCATTCATGTTACAAATTTGTCGTACCATAGCGTTTCCATGCCTTCAGACGTAACAATTCACATCATGCACATATTATATCATAACAGTCAAAAATTTGGGTTATTCCATTTTTATAGTATTTTTTTTTAATATAAGTCCAACGTCACTTACTGTGCTTCAAAGTCTCGAAAATCGGATCATGACAACTGTATTTTTTAATTGATTCTTTAAACTTTTTGAAATTTACATATTCTTTTGACTGAGTTCAAACTTATCTATTGTTTGAAAATATTTTTTTAAAAATTTTCTTATTCTTTTTTTTTTTAAAAGAAAATAATCCAAATATATGGTTTGATTTGATCGGTGAAATTTATACTTACTATTAAAATCAATTAAACCCTCTGATTTTTTAATTATTTTTCAAGATGATTCTTTTCACTAATGTATATGGTAATTGAAATTGAATCGAGGAAATGAGGATTTGACCTTTATAATTTTTTGTTTAATAAGTTTGTGCTAAATTTCTATCTTATCCTACTTCAATAAAAATAACAAAAATAAAAACATTTTAACTACTTTAAAAGTAATTGAAACGACCCATGAAATTAATATTTTGTATGAACAAGGATGAAAACTTGTTCGGAAACGAATGAGCATGGCTCATAAAATTTAACAAAACTAGTTAGAAAGATGTTCGTGATTCAGCTAATAAGCCACTTAAAATTCAACTAACAAAACGAGTCTTACGACCCAAATTTTAAGTCTTCGAAGTCCAAATGGAGATTAAAAAGATGAAAGCAAAAATAAATAAAAATAAAATAAAATAATTCTAAAAAGAAAATTTAAATCAAAATAAAAACAATACCACCAAAATCAATTATAAAATAAAAATAAATTTATTACAAACTAAAAGTGAGAAAGATTTATTGGGATTTTTGCAAACTAAAATTAAAACAATCTAAAGGAATTAAAATAAAGTGTTGAAACGTGGTTTCCTTACTTTTTAAACATTACTGTTTGTTTGGAGGCGCTTTAGATAATAAAAGGATGTTAGATGGGGTTTCTATATTCTTCATTCCAAAGCTCACAAATTCTTTCGAATTGCAAACTTTCAGATTCCAAGGATACAAACATGGCAGAATTCCTGTGGACCTTTGCCGTACAGGAAGTGTTGAAGAAGACGGTGAAGCTGGCGGCCGAGCAGATCGGCTTGGCATCAGGATACGAGGAGAAACTCTCTAAGCTGAAGGACTCTTTACTCATGGCGCAAGCCATCTTAAGGGATGCTGAAAGAATGAAGACAAACCTTGAATCCCAGAAGCAATGGGTGAAGCAGCTTGAAGATATCATCTTCGAGGCTGATATTTTACTCGATGAGCTTGCTTATGAAGACGTTCGACGCAAAGTGGAAATCGAAAAATATAAGGTGGTACGTAATTTCTTTTCATTCTCCAAAAATCCCCTTGCTTTTCGTCTCAAAATGGCAAATAAAATCACAACTGTGGCTAAAAATTTGGCCGACTTTAATTCTACACAAAGTCCATCGGGATGTGTTGCTACAACATCTAATGAAGCTAAAATTGATCTTAATCAAACTCGAGAGACAGACTTATTTCTAGATGAAATTGGAGTTATTGGAAGAGAATCTGAAGTATCAAATATATTGGATAAACTACTTGCCCTCAATAACCAAAAAACTCTAGTTGTTTTACCCATTGTTGGTACCGGTGGGTTAGGAAAAACAACTCTGGTGAAGGAGATTTTCCATCANTTAAAGATTATATTGATTCTGTTACTACATTAATTACTACAAGTTAGTGTTGAACGGGAAAAGGTTGATTAGGTTTGAAAACCAAATCAAAACTAAAGTGAAAAAAAAAAAATAAAAAAACAAACTAAATCAAGCTGCATGTGAAACGTTTTAGTTCATCATTTTATCTTTATTCAAATTATTATTCTATTTTATGTTTAGACATTTAATTATGAAATATTTAGTTTTTTTTTTAATTAAATTTCTATGTTACCATACTTTAATAAAAATAAAATAAGAAAAACCTAACTTTCTAACAAGTTAGAAAAGAAATTGAATCAATATATGAGTGATAAAATTAATATTTAGTTTGAATTAAGTTAAAAAAAATGTTTGGAACTAATTAGTATGCCACTTAAAATTCAACAACTAGATTAGAAAGTTGTTCTTGATTCAACTAATAAGCCACTTAAAGTTTAGCTAACAAGTCATGATTCAAATTTGATCGTGACTAAAAAAAGAAAAAGAAAATGAAATAAATAAAAGTATAAAATAAAATAAAATAAAATAACATGAGAAAATCCGAAAAAATTAAACAAAAATAAAGATAACACCAAAATGAAATAATAAAACAAAAGTTCGATTACAAGAGGGCGTTGTTCAATTTATTACAAACGGAAAAAGGGTTTGCGATACAATTACAAAATGAGATAAAAAAAACACTCAATTATAAAAATGAATTGATGCTTTGTAACAACCCCTTTGTGACAGTGTAGCTCTTGGATGCTTTTCCACCTCAACCAACAGCATTCCAATATCTGAAAACAAAAATAGAAATAAATAAATATATAAATATACCAAATATGCTCTCATCGCATCGTTGATCTAGTAAGCTACTACAGGCTTTTCTCTAGACTCTAAAAAGATCGGGCTTATTTCTAAAGCTATTGGAGCATTAGGATTTTAAACTAGACAACGAGATTTTATCTTACCTGTTGTTCCAACAAAATAGAATAGTTTTGAAGGAACTCAATTACAACTTATATTATACTTTATTAGAGAGTAGTTGAACTTTATTTATGGAACTAGTACCTCTTATGCCTTTCTAAAAAAAAACTCCAAATCTATTGATACCATGTAAGACCTATAATGCCGTGGAGAATATAGGATTGAGGGCAGCATAAAAAGTCGGAGCTAATAAACTTGAGCTAGTAGAACAAGTTACTCACTTCATAGTAACTTTAGGAGAATGATTAGTAGACTTGGCCTATGAAGTAACCTTGAGAGAATTATTATTAGACTCGGTAGAATAAATTACTAACTTATGAAGCAATTATAGGAGAATTGGCGGTAGTTGCCAAATTGTGGACCAAGTTCATTTGCTTCTTTTACTTGTTTCAACTTATTTTGATCCAGGGTCATATCCAACCTTTGGTATCAGAGCCAGGATGTTGAAACAAATGTCATCACTATAGAAAGTCACTTTAGGAGAAGTGAAATTGATAAAGAGAGGAAAAGAGGGGAGTGTAACGCTCCAGTACTCGCTACTCACGAAAATTCGGACCGTGACCAAAAAGAAGAAAGTAAAAACAAACAAAAATATAAGAAAAGAAAAAAGAGGAAAAGATAAAAATACCATTTAATTAAAATAAAAGAAGGGAAGTTTTGTTTCAAGATATTAAACGGGATTCAAATATAAAAGGTGTAACGCCCCGTTAGGTTATATATAATAATAATAATAATAACAATAATAATAATAATAATAACAATAATAATAATAATAATAATAATAATAATAATAATAATAAAATAAGCAATAAAAAAAAGTAACTGACCACCCCTCTTTTAATCTCCACCCTACCCTAAAATACCTCCTCATCGGTCATCAATAATTCTAAAAACAAAACAGAAAAAGAAATAAAAAGATTTTATGGGGGAGAAGAAAGGCAGATAAATCTTCTGGCAAGAAAGACCATTTTCTGGAGAGAAGAAAGGCAAATAGATTTTCTAGGAGAAAAAAAAGAAATAATGGAGGGATGATTAGGCAGATAATTGAAGAGATGTCATTTTAAAAGGTTAATAGTCAGATCTACCTTTTCCTTTTATTGTATGGAGATAATTGAAGAGATGTCATTTTAAAAGGTTAATAGTCAGATCTACCTTTTCCTTTTATTGTATGGAAGGATATGAAGAGATGTCATTTTAAAAGGTTAATAGTCAGATCTACCTTTTCCTTTTATTGTATGGAAGGATATTAGTATGTTGCAATTATTTAGATCTGAGTTAGAAATGATGATATCTTAACCCAAGAATCAATTAAAATTTGGTAGGGGAAAAAAATACAAACAAAGAGGAGAAACTGTAAAAACAAATCAAACAATCAAAAGAAGGGAAGAGAAAAAAAAAACAAAAAAACTAAAAAACTAAAAAAAAAAAAGAAAAAAGAAAATTAAATCGATCTAAAATGGTTAAGTTAGTTGCATAGATATTTTTTTAGGAAAGAAATGAAAATCAAATTCGATTGAAAATAGCCAATACAATAGGCAGAATTAAAAAAAAAGGAGGATTACTGATATTATTAGGAAAGAAAACAAAATCAGAATGATATTTTTTGGAAAGAAAAGAAAAAATTCAAAATCCTTATCGAATTAATTAGAATCAGATTTCCACCTAAAGTTATTTTGATTTTACTCGGCAGTTAGAAATCATATCAGATCTTTGAATGAGATCATAGATCTTCTCTTTATACAATTATTTAGAATTAGATCTCCCCTTCACTTACTAAACTGTTAGAATTAAATAGGAAAGAAAAGAATTAAACAGAGAAGAAAAGAATTAAACGAGAGGTTTGGAAAAGAATTAAACCGAGAGAGAGGTTTGAAAAGAATTAGACAGAGAGAGGTGAAGAAAAATATATATATATATATATATATATATATATATATATATATATATATATATATATATATATATATATATATATATATCTTTAATTAAGTACATAAAAGAAGAAAAGAAAAGAAAGAGGTAAAGGAAAGGAAAGGAAATTATATATATTTAACTAATTAAATACAGAAAAGAAAAGAGACAGTGATGGAGGAAAATAGAAGATTTGGTGAACAGAAACAATTTTACAGAGTAAATACATAGAGTAAAAGTGATGGAGGAAAATAGAAGATTTGGTGAACAGAAACAATTTTACAGAGTAAATACATAGAGTAAAAAAAAGAATAACGAGATATATATATATATATATATACAATACTCATAAAGTCTCTAATGCTCACATGGAGTTTAACACATGGACCATTGTAAAATTTAGAGAATTGAAATTGATGTCATGGTTCATATAGGTTGGCTCGGATACAAAGAAAAAAACCGAACTTGATAAATTAGGGAATACTTCGGCTAAGGCCAACCAGGTGAGTGGTCTTACAATAGGATATGCTAAAAATTGTATGAGTTATGATGATATATGAACTATGTCGTACGATGCGGCATATGAGTTATGATGATGTATGAGTTATGATGATGTGTGGGTTACAATACTTGATGATGTTACTTGATATGTTTGATGCACTTTGTGGCAATATGATAAGTATGATGATTGCATGATGTTTACCTTAATATGATGATGTTTTTCATATTGAGCATGCTATATGATGATGAGTGTCATATTGCATCATGTCGTTAGATCGACATAGGACACAACCCTAAGAGCGTGAAAATGATATTAATATAAATATCCACGAGTATGTGTTACCTAGAGTAACAAAGAGATGAGATTAGAGGGTTGTGTCAGAAGATACATTATGATGGATTTAGAGGGACCTCATGCATATTGTATGTTCATAAGCATAGGGCTACTTCCCCTAGAAATGATGAGTGCGGACGCGCACCATATGATGAGCGCGAATGCGCATAGGTGCGAATGCACACAGATGAGGGTGTTCATGAGGCGCATGACACTATGGGGTTCCGCTGACCTCCGGACGTCGCTACAGATTAGCTTGACCAGAGGGTCCAGGGGGTGTGCGAGCGCCCTGGAGATTCACACTCGCACGTGTGAGTCGTGTGTAGGGAAGTACTACACATCCAATTTATCCGAGACTGGAGGCCACCCCTAAGATGATTAGAGATAAGTCCCTAAATCATGATTGCATGTGTTTGCATTAGCATGGCCCCTATAATGGGGCCACTTATTGAGTATTCTTTGAAATACTCAGGCCGTGTGCCACATCATTTTTCAGGTAAAGGCAAGGCGCACTTGTACGGAGGACGACGACATCACGAGCAGAGACTGTGGCACGTGCATAGGGTAGATTCATATTTAAATTTCTAGTCTTAAGTTAGAATAGGTTGTTTTGCATTTCATTGTTTTAAATTATTTTGTATTTGTTTTTGTTTTCTCTAAATTTCAGTATTTCATATTTAAACACGTAAAACCATGGCTGTGTTTTCCACAGAAGAGGTTGTTTTAAAAGTGTTTTTGAATTTTACGTTATAAATTATGTTCATGTAAGAATTATATTTCTGCATTATAGATGAGCATGAGACGTTAGTAGCGACTCTGAGTATGTGAAAATTTAGGGTCGTTACAAAAGGAATATACAAAAGACTCAAAAAGATGGAAAATGGATTGACGCTGCGGAACGACCCCCTCTGTGACAGCACAGCTCTCGAACGCTCCTCCATCCCGACCGACAGTCAGCGAGCACCTGAAAAAGATAGGAAAACTTGGATGAGTATAAAAATTATACTCAATAAGCCACCTACTTATAGACTCTTCAACGCATCCCAAGATTAACAGGTTCCCACGTGGTTCTAATTGGCTCTAGGACATCTGGTGTTGGTCTTATCCCATTGGGGCTTCTCTGGTTCTCTGTCTTTTCTTGTAATCCCTAAGAGCTCCTTATACTGAGCTGTAATCACCGGTGTCTCTCTATGAGGCGCTACCTCTGCATAGCATTTTGAGACTATATGACATCTTATCTAGGGGTTTGCTGAGTACCTCCTAGGC